TAATAATAACTCACAGGCTTCAGATTCAGGGTAAAATTAGAATAGGGCAACATATGTAAAATGTTATCTATGTCTGGCTTGATGTAAATAATAAATGGTAGGGTTGTTTTTCAGGCTGCATACACAAACAAGCCTATTCCCACAGCTTTGAACTCAAGCGTCCTCAATTCTTAAAAATATTCATTTATCAGAGAGCAGTCTGAGGGCCATTCAATACAAATAATAATTTGTGTCAGAAATCAAGAAAGCAGTTCACGAATGTGGGTGGGCTATGTATTTAAAATCTATATACACAAGAACAGCCAGGCAATGAGGAAATGATAGTGTGCAATAAGCAGTTTGGGTGTGTGCTTATAAAAAGAAATCTTACCATTTGCTTTACATGGCACACAGAAATTAATTCAAAATAATCAGAGACTTAAACGAAGGAACTAAATTAGTACTATGCTGCCGGGAAAAATAGAAATAACTAAATCTTCATTACTTTGACAACGCACACACACAAATAGATAAATTGGGTTATATCAAAACAAAAAAAAAATGTTTTTTTTTTTTTTTGTTCTTTTTGTTGTGTGCCACAAGTTATAACATCAGGAAAGACAAAGAGTAACTGACATTATGGAAATAAACACTGGCAAATTATGTTGCTAGCGAGACATTTATATAGGCTTCTATGTACAGAACTGCTAAAATTCAGTAGCCAAAAAGACAATCCAGTGTAAACATGGGTCAGGAATTTGAATAGTCAAGTCTGCACAAAAAGTACACAACTGTCCAAGAAGCACATCTAAATACACTCAGTGTTATTAACCTTAAAAGATGCAAAACAAACCCACAAGGGAACACTGCTTCGCATTCACTATGAGAGCTCTAATCCAAAAGACAAAAACATGTATTGTTGAGGATACAGGAAAGGTGGAATCCTCATATATGCCTGATGAGAGTGGAAAATGGGCAGCCAATGTAACTAATAGTTTGGCCATCCCATAAATAGTTAAGCAGAGATGACTGAGAAATTCTACCCTAGGTCTATACCCAAGAGAAATGAGAACATGCTCATGCAAAACTATGCACATGAATGTTCACAGTACTATTATTTATAGTAGTTACAAAGAGGAAACTACCCAAATGTCCATCAAAGGTTGGGCAAGAAAAAAAAAATGCAGCACAGCCATCTAATAGAAATGTTAATGATTGGAAAGGAATGAAATGTGGATCCACCCTGAAATGTGAATAAGCTCTGAAGACTTTATGTTAAGAGAAAGAAGCCAGTCACAAAGGGCCACATATGTATTCCTCCATTTATATGAGAACTCCAAAGGAGTTAGATTCATAAAGACAGACATCGAACCAGTGATTGTTGCCCAAGAGTTGAAAAGATGAGGAGATTAGCTGCTGATGCACAGGGATGTCTTTGTAAAGGCACGAAAGTGTTCTAAAATTCAATGTGATGTGGGTTGCACAATACTCTAGCTATGCTAAAAATTATTCTTAAAACATGCATTCTATAACAAAGCTTCATGGGAAGGTATAGTGGCCCATTAGCAACATGTGGCTTGGGGCCATTCCAGCTGGGCAATCCCAGAGAATAGTCCTCACCAAACTTTATCTCTTGGTCAGTATTTACAAATAAAGCTTGCTTTAAATTTGGCCCTCCCCAAAACATGCATTTTAAAGGAGTCGACCTATATATATCCTTACTGGAATATATGTATAATTGTTATATACATAAATATATATCCTAGCGCGCTTATCTCAATTGCTTATTTAGAGAAAAATAGAACAGCTTCAGTCGTCCAGAAGCAAAAGCAAGAGAAATAAAAGGAAAATGATGAAAAATTTCTCATCATCTAAAAAAATCTTCCCAGTGGGGTCTATGAACATCATCTTAAGACCATTTACTTAACCAAAGTTCAGTAGGGAAAAAAAAAAGTCTAACATTTCCTTGACCTTCTTTTCTAAACTTCCTAAGTGGCTTAGAGAGAGACTGCCTGGGGAACTCCAAATGGAACCTAAAAATATTATCTTCTGGCTTTATAAACATCAGGAACACTAATGAAGTGAGGGGCAGCAGACCCAGGAATGGACTATCTCATTCAGGTTGGGAGGAAGGGTGTGGGGGTTGGGGAGGCTGAACACAACCCTGAAGTCAGGCAAGAGGGCCAAGGGGGGGCGGGGCATACGGGGGCCAGGGAGGTAAAACTCAACACAGAGTAGGAAGAAAAGAATAACAACGATCTGGGATACATAAAGCAGAGCCAGGGTGACCACTATTCTAAACACCAGTAAAACAAGCCCTTTGTGAGCCAGACTGTCCAAGTTTGGAGAGGTGACTGCACGGCAGTCGATCTCACTGGACCCCATTTGCACTTCACTTGCAGGCTACCTGGACAGTCACACTGTGCTGGTCTCCCTCTGCAGCAAAAACATTCCTCTCCTCATTCCCTCCTCCCTAGCGCTCATGGGATGCTGTCCAGTCTGCTTATGTCTGCCCGAGTTCTCTTGGGTGATGTCAAGGACCCTGAGAGTCGCTTTCCTATGTAGCCCCAGCACCTAAGGACAAATCCATGCAAATACACATGGATGGAGAAGGGGTTCTCCCATCTCCTTCTCCTACTGGATTTCCCATGAAGAAGTCAATAAATTCCCTCTAAAGCTGCTTTGAACCCATTTTCTACAACTAAGAAAAGGGCCTAAGTGATGCACAGATTTATACAGGAAGGGGAGAGTCAGTAAAGGCCAGTTTTCTAATCTGGTAATGATGCATTCACCAAGCACAAAATACTAGATTAAAGATTAGGGCATCAAGGCAGGGGACACACTGTAAGACTGGCTGTCACCCAGAGATTCTGTGTGCAACCCAGGTTCACAAAGAAAAACCCAGGGAAACTCCTCCACATGTTAAAGCTCAGATGATAGGACTAGATCACATTTCCTACCATTCTTTAATTTGTAAATCATCTCCAAAGAGGTGCATTGTTTTCATGGTGACTACTTTAATATGTAAAGCTTCCATGGTACATTTGGGTGTGAAAACCATAGTCAGAAAAATGAAAAAGATTGTGTTAGAAACAACCAACCAACCAACCGGCTCAGGCTCTCTCTTCTATTTCCTTCAAAGCTTCTACTTCAGTTATAGAGACAGGGAAAGTATTGTTTTCCATCCATCTGCCCACTATTTCATGGACACCTGACTTCGCACTTGGATGGCATAAAGGGAGTAAGCAAAGGGAGAAAGCGAGCAACAACAGGAAAGATGCAAAATTCCATCACAAACCATTTTGCTCTGGCCCCACACTTACTGGGTGGGTTCCTAAAATCAACACAACCAGCTCATGTTTCCTTTTTTATCTTGGAAGCAACCGAGAAAGAGTAATTTGACTTTCCTTTATACCTGATCTGCACTTCACTCTTGAGTTTTTTAAAACATCCCATCAAACTCCCTTTAAAACATTTTGAAATTTACATCTTATATAACAGAACCAGATAGATAATAATAAAAACGTTTTTCGGTTCCTTCTAAATATCCTTTTGAAAAACAATAATCTTAAAAATATTTGGGAGGAAGTAACTCACAAATTCCTTTAAAAACTAATTAATAACTAATTTTAAAGTTGGCTTTCCTCCTAGCTAATCTAAATTTTCCCCTCCCCATTTAATACCATCTTTTCCTGATGTTATTTTAAGAAGAGTTAAACTTATACTCATTTAATCTTAATTGATTTTACTTAGTTCCAATTCACTGAATACTTGAGCTAAATTTTTGTAAAAACAGTAATTTTTTTTTTATGGAAAAGTTAAGCAAGGGAAAATCTGTGACTATTTGGCATCTTATTCTCTTTTGTGTTATAAAAAAAAACACCTGAAGCTAGTTATGTAGTAAAGGAAAGAGGCTTATTTATCACATAGTTCCAGAGCAAAAAGGGCAGCTAACAACATTCAGTCTGTTCTGGTGAGGAATGTATAGCAAATGAGGAAAAACACTGAGGGGTGGGAGGAGGGTGATGTGGCAAGACAGGGTAGAGACAGAGAGAGAAAGAGATTCAGAGAGACTTTTCATGAGAGTCACAGCACTCCACTGAAAACAGCACAATTCCTGCTAAGGCTGGATAGGATTACTTCACCCTCAAGCCCTCTATAAGCTATATATCTCAGCATCACAGAAGGGGACACAACTTCTAGCCTGTGTAACTTCAAAAACGTTCTCAAACCACATCCAAACCGTAGCACCAGGTACAGCATGGAAGGCTGAACATATGCTAAGATTGGCCTTTCTCCTTACCTGTGTATTTAACAACAACAACCTGGGGAGACCTCTTGATATAAAAATGGAGCGCAAAACAAAAATGTCCCATCTTAAAACCTGTAAGATCAGAAAGGAGTGCCGAAAGAGCAGATGGGAAAGCAATTGTTTAGTGAGAGAAAAAAAGATGGAATTTCCCTCCTCCATCACCCACTCAGTTTGGCCAAGAGCTGCAGACATCCCTGGGGAATGAGACAAGTGTGCTGAATCCAGAGCCTAGCCCTTCCTTCTAACTGCCTTCTCCCAGCCCTGCTCTAAGACATGTCAGTTCTATTCTTTGCCAGGAGCTCCCTCCAAGTCCCAGCCCCAGAGCCACAGCCCTTCATCACATTGAGTTGACAATAAAGAAATGCTTTTCCTAAAGAATTCACACACAAATAATCTCATTACCCCAGTGTTTGCATTTATACAGCAGTCATCTTCTGCCAGAAGGAGAGGGGGGAAAAAATCACTCCACACTCACTCACACAGAACAGCTGCAAGGAGAGAAATGGTATTTAATTCATTGTGAAATATTCAACAATGGCTACACTGCACTTTTAAAAGCCTTTTGATAGTAAAACCCACAGGGAACAGCCCATCCTGTGTGCTGAAAAGCAGCTTCCTCACAATTAGCCTCTTCATTCAGGTTTGAACATTCTGTGTAAACTTCAGCACGTGCTCTGGACACTGTGGATGGCTTCAAGGGTATAACCTTTCAGAAACTTTGAATGCTTGTCTTCTCACAAAACTGTCCTGAGGGCCAGAGGGGGAAGGGAGTCCAGGGAGAGAAGAAGAGGGGAATGAGATACTTAGGTGAAAAGGAAGAAAATCCTCCTGACCCCAGCTGAATCTCAACAAAGGAAAACCCACTCTCCACACAAGCCTTGCAAATTACCAGCTTTATTCATGCCCTCAAATAACCAGTGTTGGAGAAAAAGAAACCCCTGAGCGGAGATCCAAAAATAATGAGGGGATAGTGGTTCATTTCCCTGCTCCATCTCTGAGGTTTTCGTGGGTCTCTGATTTGTAGGAAAGCAAGCTTTTTATATTGTCTTATCCTGGCAGGATAGTGACATGGCTCAGTAAGAAGGAGGTGACAATGAAGAGTTAAGAACAGAAACTATCCCAGCAGTTAAATTTACACAGTGATTGAAAGAATGGACCATACAGCGAACTCAGCTTAATTTCTCCATCTCTCCTTCCTTTATTTTCTTCTTCCCTCCCTACCTCACTTCCCTCCCTACCTCCACCCCTGACAGAATTACAGTTAAGTTTTTTTTCATTCACCGCATCTGTTCAATAGGAATATCATCTTCCTAGGAACATGGCAAATGTGAAAGACATACAGGTATGAGCCTCAACACACTGAAGGTGGAAAGGACCAGCCCTAAGTCTTGTTCCACCAGGAATGTCCATCTGATAGACTGGTGAAACTCAGAAACACTAGGCAACAACTGAAAGGCCAAAGTAGCAGGGTCTACGCAGAGTAATGCAGAGTCCATGGAGGGAAATCTCTCTCTAGAATGGAGAGGTCTGAAAACCAGTTGTCTAATTGAACTTGTGGCAATAGACCCTGGTCAGCAGCTTAAAAAAAAAAAAAGTCAGACATCAGACATGAGGCTCAAGACTCCAAAGAATGATGTCTAGGCAGAGGCAGTTGGCTGGGACTGTGTAACACCCAGCAGTTCACCTGCTGTTGTTGCGTCTATATTCTGACAGAATGGGAGAATGCTGCAGACATCACATGAGGTGAGGGTGATGGGCACAAGTTATGGCCCACTAGAGAGTCAAGAAGCAGAGATACATCCTGAGTAGCAAAAAATAAAGCAGAAAGATGTGTCTGGATGTTGGGCAACGCCATGATTCTTATCTCCAAGACAATGGGATGGAAACAACTTCCAGATTTAAATACAATCTCTGGGGATTGACCAGGGCAGTGGAAAGGGATTTGGAGGAAGGAAGTTGACACCAATGAATTCATTGCTGTTAAACAAGATATGGGGGGGGCTCTCCTTATCTGCTGCAGGGGGACATAATAGAACCCCTCTCCTTACTGAAGATTTTAAGTTCTCTGGAGTCTCAGACCATTTTGAGAAGAATGGGGAAGCAAAATTCCTGCTTGTAATAATTTTTTAGCAAGAGCTTTCCTAAAACTCATGTCTGACAAAATAAATAAATTCTGTGACAATCAGTAGGTCTAAGACTTGGTTGAAGGTTGTCAGGGTTGATGATGTACAAGCAGGGCATCCAGCAAAAGGCCCAGGCAGTTAGGACCTGGTTCTAAAGATGTCTAAGTTACTGGTGTTTCTCCTTCCCAAGAACCACTTGACACGGTCTACAAGGAAGGAGCCCCAACTTGCAAAGCAAGATGCTTTGGAGGGTAAGGTTTAAACCCCAACTGAAGACATGAATAGAGGTTGTGGGAAACTTTTATTAAAAAGGAAGAGTCTTCAAAGGCCATGAGTAAGTCCTAATAGGATGTTCAGGAATAGGAAGCAGATCCCTGTAAAATTACATAGTGGTGCAGAGAGTAGAGGGCCAACTCTCCAGACAGTGAGATAGGGCAGGGTCTGGACTGAAAGGCAGAGGCCATTCACAGGGGCAAGTTCTGAGGGCCAAAGGCTGCCCACACATCAGGGGAGAGGTGATCTCTCCCATAGTGCAATTAGGCCTCCTGTTTGACCCCTGACTTCTGCCCCATGGGATATTTATGTTCTCTGGACAGGCAGCTAGGGGGCAAACGAAGGAAGACAGACTCTGCCCTTAGAAGGGAAAGAATTACAGAAAGGGAATTGGGGGGGAGGGATGGAGAGAAGGTAGGAAAGGGGAGACATGGAGAAATGGAGGGAGGCAGGCAGGCAAACAGGCTGGCTGGTTGGTCTTGCTCTCACATCAGTCTGCGAATTCTTGAATTAGATTTCTCTGTACCAACGCCTGGTCCTTGGTCATTTCCACATTCAATGTGGTGAGGATTTTTTGTTGTTGTTGTTTTGTGTTGTTTCTGTTTTTTGATGTGGTTGTTTTTTGTTTTGTTTTCTGTCTCGCAATAATTCAAGGTTGGCACTCTGATATATTACAAATTAGGAAAATGAAGTTGAGAAAGGTACGGTGGTTTGCCCATGGGTGGCAGGTCTAAAAACAGGGCCCTGACAGTCAGGCTCTGTTTCTTTCTGAATAGTACTGTGTACTGGGGCAGGGAGTGGTGAGCTTGTTTGCTCTCCCACCTGTCTAGAACTCCCACTAGCCCTTTGCAAACTAAATCTAAGTCCAGAATCTCATCTGTTCCAACCGTCTATTTCTCAAGCAGATGTGCCACCACAAACCAAGAGGACAGCAGGCAGGCCAGGCAGGCCATCCACTCTCCTCCCAGAGTCAGCCTTGCAGCTGCCAAGCCTGGGCCTGGACTCCGAACTTCGGGGCGGGCAGCTAAGGTGCTGCCTGGCTGGCAGTGCCAGGGTTAACCCGGCGGCCCAGCGGAGCAAAGATTTCTGTTTTATTTCAGCGGGGGAAGTGTGTGCTGCCTGATTAGCTGGATGGTTTCCTCTTTTCCCATAACCTCCAGACCCCCACGGCCCAAGTGTTTACTCTCTGAAATAAAAAATCTGCTGGTGTTTTTCTTTTTGTGTGCTCGTGTATTTTGGGAGGATTGCAGAGGAGGAAGGCGGGGTCGGGGTGACGGACCAGCGTGGGGGAAGGGAGGGCGCAGCCTCCAGCTGCAGAAGCTGCTGCTCAAGAAAGCAACTTCTTAACGAGGGAGCTGGTCTCTAGCTCCGGCAGCTATAAACACACAGAACATCTGGAGGCAGAGAGTCTCTCCCAGCCAGACGTGAGCACCGCAGGCTGTCCCTGCCCGCCCTTCCCCACCTCCCCGGCTCTCACACCCCCTCTCAGCTCAGCTCAGCTCCAGCCCTCTCACATCATCCACCCACCCGACCAGACCATTTCCATTCACAGAGATCCCCAGCGCCCGCTAGCAGCCCGCCCGCTTTTGGCCCGCGGGAACAGATCGGAGACCAGCAGGCGACGCCAGCCAGCCAGCAGTGGCCACCCCGCCCCCGCCCCGTTCCAGAAGAGGGGTCAAACTGCTAGAATCCAATAAGAACTTAGTGCCCCGGGGACCTTTTCCCAACTCGGACCAAATATTTGCGGTTTGAAAAAGTTAAGAGAGCTGCCCCCCCCCCCCCCCCCCCCCGGTTCCCCCCTGGGAGTTTCTGTTCAATGCTTTTTTTTCCTTTTTTTTTTTTTTTCTTTTTTTTTTTTAAGAAACAAGGAATTTATCTATCAGGTGGTCAGGCCAACAGCACGCTTACGTGCTAATTGTCACTCCACTAGCCCTGCTGAGAGGAGAGGGGCTTTTTCTGCACCTGGGCCTCCTTCCTTTCCCAGCGCCAGTAGATGGGATTCATTCTCTCTCACAGGAACCCTAAGGCAACACCCCCCAGCTCCCCTTACATCCCTAACTGCCCTGGGCTCTCCTCCCCAGGTGCTCCTCTCTCTTTGCTGGTGAAATGAGTTATAATGAAAGGCAACTGGCAGGTGCAATATATGTGTAATATATGATATAGAAAGGGATACAAGGAGGAGAAGGGGGGAAAGGAAAGGGAGGAAGAAGAAGAGGAGGAGGAGGAGGAGGGAGTGTGAGGGTAGAATGCGACTTGGGTAATGGGAAGGTAGTCATGAAGGTGGTCAGAGTCAGGAACCTTCTTTCTCTGGCTCCTTTAGATCCTCACTTGGACTATGCTTCATGGGAAGGGTGGTATTTATTGGCTATAGGTCATGGCCTTTTATGTCTCATACCGTGGATCCAGCAAAACAACTCAAAAATAAGGATAAGGACCTGTCTGTTAAAGATTTGAGACCCAAGGAACGTATTCCAAAACTCCGGGACATGAAGGCTTGTTCTCTCTACCTAACCAGGCTAGACCCTCTGACTAGACAACACAGTTCCATTTCCATTCAAACCCTTACACAAAATATTCCAGGAATCTGAATGTGAAGTAGCCCAGACTTGAAGGTTTCAAGAAAGCAGTAGTTGGGAGACTATGGTAGGTAGGAAGCCTGGTCAACATGGTTACAGCAGCCACCCAGAGCTGGCTAGAGGGCCATCTTCACTTGCAAAGAAAGGGTCAGGCCCACAGATACCTCCATACCATAACAGCACAGGGTGACAGTAAGTGTGGAAGAGCCTATGGTAATTGGATTTGCGGCCAGGCTCACCCCCACCCTCTTATTTAAGCTTAAATCTGATGAGGTAGGTGTATGACAGGACTGTTGAGCCTCAAGCATTCCTGGGCACCTTACTCTGGGGACCTAATCAGGGCAGTTAGGCCCGGTCTTACGTGACAGGTTAAAGTTGAGGCAGGACTGTAACTAGCTCTTTCTGAGACAACACAGCTGCCAAATGAGAATCAGAGGGATCCAACATGCTTATCTCCTCAGTGGTCAGAACTTGTTTGCAGAAAAGAATTGGCCAGCTTAGGACAGCCAGGGCTACATACAGACTGTCTTAAAAAATAAGTAAGTAAATATTTTTAAGAACATAGAGACTAGTTATTCTAAAGACTAGTTATTTTTAAAAAAAAATACGACTAGTTGCAAGAAACTGCCTTTTGAAAGCTTAGACTTCCACACTGAGTTGGAAAAATTTTCCACACTGAGTTGGAAAAATCAAGAGAATTGAATAAAATGTTTAGGATGAGGGCCCCTGAGGAGTTCTTCATTCATCTCACTATAGGCTACCATAAGTCTTTTCT